GGGCCCCGGAGCGCGCCGAGGGGGGGCGCGCCGAGAGAGCGCCTCCGAGGGGGGGCCCGGGGCGCCGACCCGAGAGAGGTCCGCCCGAGGCTCCGAGAATGGATGCTCGAGCCGGGCCCGGGGGAGCCCCACAAGTACCGATGCCGCTGCTCCCGCGGGCCCAACAAGTACCTCCTCCTCCTCCTCCTCCTCCTCCTCCTCCCTCCTCCTCCTCCTCCTCGCTCCTCCTCCTCCTCCTCCTCCTCCTCCCCCTCCTCCTCCTCCTCCGCCTCCTCCTCCTCTCCTCCTCCTCCTCCTCCCTCCTCCTCCTCCTCCTCCTCCTCCTCCTCCTCCTCCTCCTCCTCCTCCTCCTCCTCCTCCGGGCCCAGGGTGCGTGCCGGCCAGGGCTTCGAGGCGGAGCCACAACCCCGTGGCGGCGGGGGCCTCCCAGGAGGGCCGAGGGAGCGGCCAGGGGGCGAGGCGGGCAGCCGCAGGAGGAAGGGGAGCTCCGCGCGGAGCTCCGGCTTACCGTCGTGGCATGGTCATGCAGTCGGGGCGTTGACCCAAGGAACGATTAATAAAGAACGAGGCCCCTTTTTTCCATCAGTTAAACTTCGATTGCCCATGGAAAGCCTAAGGAAAACCCAAGGCAAGCTGTGAAACAACGAAGGAGCACGGAGCCCCTCCCCAACGAGAAGGGTTCCTTCTTCAGCGCCCCGACTGTAAGAGCGCGGGTCAAGGGCACAAGCCCCTTCGCCGAAGGCCCACGGCCGCATGAAGGCACCCCACGCGAAGAGCACTCCAAGGCGGAGAGCCCAAGCACGGAGGAGAGAAGGGTACCCCTCGAGGGCTGCGGTTTCGGGGGCGCACTGGCCCGGGTCGATGCAAACCCGGGTCAAATGGGCTTTGCAGGAGCCTGCACGCTGGCCTGGTCAGTGCAACCCTGGCGTTACAGGATCCCGCAAGATCCAGCGCTCTGGCTGATCCCCGTCTGCATTGACCCCCGTCTCTTGCAGCTCGAGGGCTTGCTGGGGGCCCAACGCCGACCCAATTAGTCCGTGCGGCGCTTGGGAAGCTTTCTGTGAAGCGGGAAGTTGCCCAGATCCAACCCCTGCGGAACTCATGTTCTGGGACCCCAGGGGGGCGGTGGATACAAATATGCCTGGACCCCTTGGGGCCCGTCCACCGCCTACCGAGGTCCCCGAAGATTCATCCCCCAGGCAGCGGTTGCGGAGAAGTCCCCGTCTCGAACTGGTGTGCTCGTCTACAGGCAGTGCTTGCAGTTAGGGGCTCTTACTGCTGTCACTGGGCATCCTCTTATTTGGGGCTCAGACGTTTGGCCGAAGGGTGGGGGAGGGGGGGGGGGGGCTGGGCCTGGGCCAGTGCTCAGTCGGTCTGATTATGCCCGTCCCTCCTGCAGATTGGGGGCAAGGGGTCCTGACCAGGAGCAGCCGGAGCTGGTCCAAAGCAGCCAGGAGCTGGTCCACGGAGGGGAAAAAGAGGGGAGGCGAGAGGCCCGCGCCGATCGGCGAAACAAGGGATAAAAAACGGCGACTAAGGGGGCAGATGGGTCCGGCGATGTTTCGCCACGCTGGCCGCCCCTGGCCGCCTCGTGCGCTGGGTGGGTCCGGCGAGGTTTCGCAGCGACGCCGCCCATGGCCGCCTCGCGGCCGCCCCACGCACAGGCACAGCTTGCACCTCATGGCTTGCACCGGATGGCTCACACATCCACAGTTCAGACACTTTTCCTGCTGGGGGTCCACGCGGGCAAACATGGATGACGTATTCGAATGGGGAGGGTGCTTATCAGACAGCCTGTGGTGCTTGATGCCTATCTCGGTGACGCCGATCCCTGGGCGCCACCGACACGCGCATCCCTGCTCCTCCTCCTCCTCCTCCTCCTCCTCCT